GGCTCTCTTCCTCCTTTTGACCTTCATCATGCTGTTTACTTCACAGTATTGAAACTGTATCTTAAAGCTTTGTTTGAATAGCAGACAAACGCGGTAGGACACTGCACTGTGTAACAAGCAGTAACTTCAGTTACTTCAGGAAAAAATCCTACAGGTGGCCTAATACATGGAAGAAGTTGGACTCTAATCCGTAGATTAGATTTGCAGGGTAATTCCAATGTCTGCGTTTCAGGGACAAGGTGAGAGAACTCATCATAAATATTAAGAGGAAGGAGAGGGTCAGAGAAGAACCACAGCAATTCCCTGCCTCTCTAAATTCCTCCACCATCATCACCAGTCCTGGGGAGAGAAATAGAACTTGGGACCATGGATGCAACAATATTCTCTAGGCAACGACAAGGCGCATCATCTGAAACAGCCACTCAAAGAGGACAGAAGTCACCAAGCTGAGAATAGTAACTCTGCGCCTGCAACACAGACGTGGTAAGGATTCAGAGGTATGACAGCTATTCACAACCATCATACCTTTATCTGCAATAAGGCTACACTTAAACCATTACTTTTCTTCACGTATTGATGTCTATAAAGGTATTAACTGAACAGGGTTAGCCCTGGTTGTCAAATGTTGATCTTGGGCTCTGCTTGGCAGGAATATATGTCCTATATTAACATAAATGGGTAAAATACTTAAATAAGAGTCTTGATTGATCAAAGTTTTCACAACATGAAAAGTCCACAAGGGGAAATAAGAAAACCCTTGGTGGTTAAAATTAAGGCTTAGACTCAGAGGCTTACACAATAGTTATGACTCTATTCCACAATCCTTCTTTCTTCAAATCTTACCTCAGATATTAAAGGCTAGTAAGAAAATACTTTCAGTTGGAGTCAATTTAATAAGGAAACTTGTTTTCAGGGCCTAAGGAGCACTTAAAGTTCAGGAAGTCTCTTCTGTAGTCAAGATGACACCTCTGACTTTGGAAAGGTGGAGAGCCTAAAATTTGACCTTGGAAAGGAGAAAAATCAAGTCGCTGTTTATTCTGACTCACTCCAGTTTTGTCAGTTCGGGTCAAAAAGAAGACACAAAGACACAATGAGACATGCAAGAGACCTACCAGGGGACACACACATGAAGAACAAAGGGCAGAGGCAGCAGCAGCAGGCCTCCAGACAAAAAGCAGGTGTGACACCTGGGAAAGGACAGCCACTGAGTGGAAAAAGCTCAGGCTGAATGCAGCTCTGCAGAAGCCTCTGCACACCGACAGGGAGCCCCAAGCAAAGACTGGCACTAAGCAGACCCCACACCGGTCGGGAGTGCCTCAGCTCTCGAGTCCCACCACAGTCAACCACTGGCCAGCAGCAAGGTAGAGAGGGCCTGGCCTCGGCAGGTGTGGCAGCTACAGACCTCACGGCAGGTTCGCTCAGGAAGGGAGATGTGACCAGCTCATTGCCCCAGTTGCCGCAGCCCACCTGCACTACCCAGATCCTTCTCCCCACAGTTCCCGTGGGCTTCTTCTATGGGGAAACTTAAAAGAAAAACAGTAGGCAAAGTCCCACCCACAGCTGTCCTCAGGGCTACACTCCCCATTGCCAGCCTCCAGC